CCCTCATGCTGTGGCTTCACACATACACACACACACACACACACACACACACACACACACTAAACTTCTTGTCTAATCTCGTCTCACACATTAAACACAGTTTTTAATGGCATAAGTCAGAGTTACCTGCTGATCAGCCTGTTGTTTGCGTCCCACCACCCTGAAGCTATTGTTACTGGGGTTCTGGAAGATGTGAACCCTGCTGATGGCCTGAGTGCCAGAACCGGCCGGTAACCAGCGCTTACTGCCGTCATCGTACATCATGACGGTGGCCCGCGCCTGACAGATGCTTTGTTCACTGCAAAACATGAAAATCACACACCGTACAGAGACTTCAGTCAGCAAACCTGCAGCTGTGCTTCACTTCATAAAGTAAAACATGACAGACAGAATAATCCTGACGACATTAGTTACACACGGCAAACAGTGATGCTCTTCCTCAGTATTTATGAATATTTAAGATTTCATAAATTAAGATACATTTACTAGAGATACACAATGGCTTAAAATATGAAGTCTGGTTTTCTGAGAAACTGATCAAAATTAAGTGAGTTTATGATTAAAACAAGAACAAATAACTGTCAATGGGAACTCAAAGCAAAACAAGATAACACTTAAAAACACTAAACTTTTAAAAACCATCAGATAACTCTTAAAACTGTCTGATAACACTTAAAAAATAAAATAAAACTGTCTGAGAACACTTGACCTCTTAACTGTCACCCGTCCCCTCTGTGGGACGCCTAAGTTTACGTCACTATATTACAATTAAAGCATAGAGGAGAAACAATAATGTACATTATGTGGAAAATAATGTGTTTTTTTAACCTTAAACCGCATAAACACATTTCATTACACCAAATACACAAAATAATGTTCTTTTTAGCAGCATCATATGACCCCTTTAAAACTGTCTGATAACACTTGAAAACACACAAAAACATTTAAAAACTGCCTGGTAATGCTTAAAAACTTTTAAAAACCACTTCAAATAACACTTAAAACTGTCTGATAAGCCTTAAAAACCACTTAAAAACTCTGATAACACTTAAAAACACCTAAAACACTTAAAACTGTCTGATAACACATGATAAACCTTTAAAAACCACTTAAAATAACACTTAAAACGGTCTGATAACACTTAGAAACATTTAAAAATGTCTGATAATGCTTAAAAACACTTAAAACTGTCTGATAACACTTAAAACACTTAAAATAACACTTAAAAACTGATAACACTTAAAAAAATTTAAAACTGTCTGATAATGCTTAAAAACATTAAAAACATCTAAAAACTGTCTGATAACACTTAAAAACACCTAAGACACTTAAAACAGTCTGATAATGCTTAAAACTGTCTGATAACACTTGAAAACACAAAAACATTTAAAAGCTGACTGGTAACGCTTAAAAACTTTTAAAAAACACTTAAAAACACTTAAAACTGTCTGATAAGGCTTAAAAACACTTAAAACGTTTAAAACCTGTCTGAAAACACTTAAAACACTTAAAAACTCTGATAACACTTAAACCACTTAAACTGTCTGATAACACATGAAAAACCTTTAAAAACCACTTAAAATAACACTTTACTGTCTGATAACACTTAGAAACACTTAAAAATGTCTGATAATGCTTAAAAAACACTTAAAACTGTCTGATAACACTTAAACACTTAAAATAACACTTAAAAACTGATAACACTTAAAAAAATTAAAACTGTCTGATAATGCTTAAAAACATTAAAACATTTAAAAACTGTCTGATAACACTTAAAAACACCTAAAAACACTTAAAACGGTCTGATAATGCTTAAAAACACTTAAAACATCTAAAACTGTCTGATAACACTTGAAAACACACAAAAACATTAAAAAACTGCCTGTTAACACTTAAAAACATTTAAGAACCACTTAAAATAACACTTAAAAACTGTCTGAATGTCTGATAATGCTTAAAAAACACTTAAAACTGTCTGATAACACTTAAACACTTAAAATAACACTTAAAAACTGATAACACTTAAAAAAATTTAAAACTGTCTGATAATGCTTAAAAACATTAAAAACATCTAAAAACTGTCTGATAACACTTAAAAACACCTAAGACACTTAAAACAGTCTGATAATGCTTAAAACTGTCTGATAACACTTGAAAACACAAAAACATTTAAAAGCTGACTGGTAACGCTTAAAAACTTTTAAAAAACACTTAAAAACACTTAAAACTGTCTGATAAGGCTTAAAAACACTTAAAACGTTTAAAACCTGTCTGAAAACACTTAAAACACTTAAAAACTCTGATAACACTTAAACCACTTAAACTGTCTGATAACACATGAAAAACCTTTAAAAACCACTTAAAATAACACTTTACTGTCTGATAACACTTAGAAACACTTAAAAATGTCTGATAATGCTTAAAAAACACTTAAAACTGTCTGATAACACTTAAACACTTAAAATAACACTTAAAAACTGATAACACTTAAAAAAATTAAAACTGTCTGATAATGCTTAAAAACATTAAAACATTTAAAAACTGTCTGATAACACTTAAAAACACCTAAAAACACTTAAAACGGTCTGATAATGCTTAAAAACACTTAAAACATCTAAAACTGTCTGATAACACTTGAAAACACACAAAAACATTAAAAAACTGCCTGTTAACACTTAAAAACATTTAAGAACCACTTAAAATAACACTTAAAAACTGTCTGATAACACTTAAAAACACTTAAAACACTTAAAACTGTCTGATAATGCTTAAAAACACTTAAAACACCTAAAATGGTCTGATAACACTTGAAAACACACAAACACATTTAAAAACGGCCTGATAACACTTAAAACCACTTAAAATAACACTTAAAAACTGTCTGATAAGGTTTAAAAACACTTAAAACACTTAAAACTGTCTGATAACACTTAAAACACTTAAACATTTAAAAACTATCTGATAACACTTACTAAAACACTTAAAAACTGTCTGATAACATTTAAAACACTTAAATTGGTCTTATAACACGTAGAATTGTCTGATAACAATTAAAAACACTTACAAACACTTAAAAACGGTCTGATAGCACTTAAAAACACTTAAAGCAACACTTAAAAACCGTCTGATAATGCTTAAAAACGGTCTGATAGCACTTAAAACGCACTTAAAGTAACACTTAAAATTGGCTGATAACACTTAAAAATGCGTAAAACTGTCTGATAATGTTAAAAACACTTAAAACTGTATGATAACACTTAAAAATACACTTAAAACATGTAAAAACTACCTGATAACACGTAAACACTTCTGATAACATTTAAAACACTTAAAAATGGTCTGATCACACGTAAAAGACTTAAAAACATTTTATTTTTAAGTCTGATAACAAAATTCTGTTGATTTGCAAAAAAAGGTCTAATATTACCTAATTTGATGATGCTGAGTTTGGAAATAGCAAGAAAAACTTCACATACAGATTTTTCATCAAATAAGAATAAAGATTTTTTCAAATTATATACATGTATCAGCAAAATAACAAAAGGAGTCAAATGCCAAAAGTTTTTCAAAATGATAAAAAGAAGTATTCAGAATATATAATTTAACTTAAAATTTGCAAACGAGTGTAAAATCATGTTCAAATGATCCACTTAATATAAAAGTACTTTATAAAATATGCTTTTGCACAAAAACACCCACAGATGCAGCAGAAATCACCAGGTTCATATTTTGCTCCAGCCATAATTCTGACAATGAAATCAGTATCAGGCATCAAATAATGTCATACCTGTGAAAATATGAGCAAATAGTTGTAATCTGGCTCAGATTCAGACAGGAATCATGAGTTTGTGGTGTTTTTCTGCTGATTAAGGGGGCTTCTTCACCACACAAACGAAATGTGTCATATTTTGTATAAAAAAAAAAAGTGTGACGTGAAAGAGCAAAACAGCTTCATTGATTATTGATTATTTTTGGAATCAGCAGCTCAAAATTAGTCAGAAACAAGTACACTGATAAAAAAGCATTTTGTGGTGAAGTAAATACTACATAAAAACAAATGTAATTTCTACATTAAATAATTTAGTTCAGGCAAGAATTTAAAAAATAAAGTAAATTCTATATTAGTACTCAGTTTAAGCTTGTAGAAATTAAAGTTTGAACTTATAAGTATATTTTACTTGGAATTGTTTGTTATGTTTGCAAGGATTCAAGTAAATATCAAAGTTTTGATCCTGTTTTTCCCATCATGCACTGGGGCATGAATAATTAAAAAGGTTACATTTTTCACCGTTTTCGAGTTGTATTTACACTGTTTTATGAGTGCTTTGGTTGTTAGGTTTAATAACTTACTGTTTTGTTACATCTTTCTACTCAAAATGACCCATTCATACTCAAACACTATCCATTGATTGTTACCGTCATTGTGTATGGTGTACCAAGTATTGAGGTCTCTGTGTACTTGATTGTTTACATGCTTGTAAGTGAACCACATGCTTTAATAACATGTTTTTTTTTCCAGTGCTACATTGTTACAGAAATGTTTTATTAATGTACAATGTCCCTGTTAACTAAACAAATAAAATAAATAAATAAAATAAAAAATAATGAATGAATGAGGCATTTAAGAATGCTTAGATTTACTGGAAAATGACAAAAGTACTGATGAAAGGCATTAAAAAAAGTCATTTTACAAGTCAAATGAGATAAAAGGATAAAAAACATCTGCTTAAGAGAACAACTGTACAGTTTCATCTTTCAGCATCTGAGGTGTGAAGCTGATTGTCAAAAAATAAGACATGAAATAGCAGCATGTTCACACAGAGAAACTGATCACGCGCTTTGAGCACACGCATGCGCATGTGACACATTTATTGTGCAGCAGTGTGTGTGTGTGTGTGTGTGTGTGTGAGTGAGTGCGTGCGTGCGTGAGTGAGTGAGTGAGTGAGTGTGTGAGTGTGTGTGTGTGTGTGTGAGTGCGTGAGTGAGTGAGTGAGTGTGTGTGTGTGTGTGTGTGTGTGAGTGAGTGCGTGCGTGCGTGAGTGAGTGAGTGAGTGAGTGTGTGAGTGTGTGTGTGTGTGTGTGAGTGCGTGAGTGAGTGAGTGAGTGTGTGTGTGTGTGTGTGTGTGTGAGTGAGTGCGTGCGTGCGTGAGTGAGTGAGTGAGTGAGTGTGTGAGTGTGTGTGTGTGTGTGTGAGTGCGTGAGTGAGTGAGTGAGTGTGTGTGTGTGTGTGTGTGTGTGAGTGAGTGCGTGCGTGCGTGAGTGAGTGAGTGAGTGAGTGTGTGAGTGTGTGTGTGTGTGTGTGAGTGCGTGAGTGAGTGAGTGAGTGTGTGTGTGTGTGTGTGTGTGTGTGTGTGTGTGTGCGAGAGGATGTGGGAAACATTGTCTGTCCTCCTGTGCAACACTCTCAGTTAAACAACGTGACACAATACTTTGACTTCCGCTCAAATACAACAGCTTCATCTCCGATCATTTACTAATAAATGAAAAACAACAATGACACCTGCATCTGACCGAGAGTCATTCCAGTTACAGTAAAGATGCACAAACATCCACTGATTCAAACACACTGAGACTCAAGCGTGACGTTTGTGAAGAGAAAAGATCCCTCATGTTTTGTTTTGGGGGTCACAGTACGTTATGAAGTTCCGTCGGCTGAACACGGGCTTTAAATGTGTTGAGAAGTGGAAGTGAGAGCAATAAGAGACGGTAAGAGGAAGCAGAAGAGCAGAAGTGCAGCTGAATGGAGGACTGAGTCGTGTCATTGCCCTGATGCTCTGATCAGAGGTGAGAAGACAGAAAGACAATCAATCACACTGAACCAGGAGCACACCATTGCACATCACTAACCAGATGACAGGAAACGCTCCGGCACGCTTCTCTCAAAGTGATGAACATTCGTTATCAAAGTTAGCCGTTCTTTAATACTGTTCTCAAAACATTAGCACAAAAACTTTTGGTTTTGTTTCTGTTTACATAATATACGCGTGTGTACTGTGTATATTTATTATGTATATATAAAGACACACACATACAGCATATGTTTTGAAAATATTTACATGTATATATTTATATTCATATAATTTATATTATATATAAATATATTTAACATGTAAACGTAACTTATTTTTCTTAAATATATACATGCATGTGTGTGTATTTATATATACTTAATACATATACACAGTACACATACATATGTAAACAAAAACTTTTATGTTGGATGCGATTAATTGCGATTAATCGTTTGACAGCACAAATATATATATATATATATATATATATATATATATATATATATAAGTGACTGGTTATATAGTGATTAGTTATAGTTGACTGTTCATCTACTGTTTTTTAAATGTAACAGCTTGTTTCAGAACATTTAAAAGTAACGTTCCCACAAATGATAAAATCGAATGTTTCCTTAACGTTCACAATAACCAAGAAAAAAAAAAGTTGCAAAAACATCCAGTTTTCTTGTCATGGTGTGTTAAAAGGTTACAAAAAACATTTCTTAAAACGTTCATCAAGTGCAAATAACATCAAAAGGACGTTCTGAGAATGCTGACCGCAGGATGTTTTCTCTCAACATTACGAGAACTTTTAAAAAGCGTTAGTGAAAGTTATGAGAAGGTTCTCTGTTAGTTGGATAAATACTCCTGATCACACGTTCCTTCATTGGGTTTCTCTTGGATTCATGAATCCTAAACTCTGTCTCGGATTATTTATTAAAGTGTATGCAAACGAAATGAATGGTCAGGCTCCGCTGCTTTGATGAGATCAGAGATCAGCAGTGTATTTCTGTCTGAGACAGTGAGAAGCGTCTGATGACTGACTGTAAACCTTGCACACACAGACAGATTCAAACTATACTCACTGATGGACAAACACTGACTGAACACACTTCAAATGATCAATACAGTCAAACACAAATGAGGACATGGACTTCTATTGGGGTTTTTGTACAGCTAGTTATTAATACTAGAATCTACCTCTATAACCCACACACGGAAAACTTCCTGCATTTTTACAAACTCAAAAAAGTCACAAATGAGAATGTACTGTGATCACACTTTAGATCAGATGGTAATATCAAGGCACTTTGACATATATCATGTTACTGAGGGATTACCATACTCATAGACTATGATATTTGCTTCCTTCCTTTAATGTTACCACGGTACAATGCCCAAAACGACATGCTAGAAACGTCTCGTTCTTCGCCACGGTTGCCTTTGGCTTGCTTAGTTGGGTTTAAAGACTTTTTATATTAATATTCAGTATTATTATTGATTTGATGGCACTGAAACTATCAGATGAGAATAAAACTTGAAATGAGTTGATTTGAATAATGACAGTAAATTCAGGTTGTAAAAACGTTGCTTTGAAATGTTTCTAGAATGTTATAATGTCCAGTTTTCATGTCGTGATTAGAACGTTATTCTAAGGTTACAAAAAAGCATTTCTTAGAATGTTCATCGAGTACAAACATCATAAGAACATTTCAAGAATGATGATCTCAGAGTGTGTTTCCTCAACTTTGACTTGAGGAAGGTAAGACCGTTCCATAAACATAAGAACACTTTGTCTGAACATGCATATAACGTTTAAAAGTGTTAGTGAAAATTGTGAGAATGTTTCATAACTGATGGATTTTGCAACACCTGACACTGTTGTTTTCCTGTTTTGAGCTGCTTTGACACAAAGTGTACTGTATAAAGCACTATAGAAATAAATGTGACTTGACTCGTGTTAGAGATTATTATATGTGTGTGTTCAGAGTCATCTTTCACACAATCAGATGGTAAACTAGCAGGAAGAGCAGAGTTAACTAGTTCCCTCGAGTGTGAGTTTGCTGCTTCACTTCCTCAATGATGGAGAGCATATCAGGAAGCAGAAGAAAGTTCAACTGAGACAGAAATTCAATGATTCATTATCATTAAGATGAACTCACTCACAGATTGGTGAATTCGACAATGAATCCGCATGAGATCACTCAAATACAATGATATCTCTGCCCCGTCAGTATAAGTTTTATAAGTCACATTTTTCGTCCCTGAGCTCCTCACGATTATAATGATGAAGAACTGAACGAGCTTCTGACCTGAGCTCAACGATGCTTATCTGAAAAGATGCTCAGTCTCTGGAGTTACAATGAAAAACACGAAAGCAATCGCTGATGCGAGTTAGAAATATCTACAAACTCTTCTGTAGCTCATAATAACAGCTCATATTTACACAGTCATCAGGTACGTTACAGTCTGAAGATTTAATCAACCTCACACGGAGTTTATGAGACAGATTTTGAGTGAAATATGCCGTAGTTTTGACTCACCTCATTACTGATGGAGCTCGATCTCACCCGCGCTGCTGATGAAGATACAGAGAGAGAAACTCAACATCCGCTCAACATCAAACATTTCCTGGTTTTAAAGAGAGGAGCGCAATCAAACACACTTCATGAACAGCTCAACAAACACGCATCATCTGAGAGGAGAACACACGAGTGACGGAATAACCGAGGACTGAACTGACTGACAAGAGTGAGATCTCCAGAGGTTCAACCCTGCTGCTCAACTTCTGCACGCTCTGGATGTTGGACACACTGTCTCACACACAAACACTCACACACACACACACACACACACACCTGACTATATCAGCTTAATAATAAACAGCGGAAGTGTGATGAGGGAGACATTAACAAACATTAACAAAACCAGCCCAGTCGACAAAATATATTCTACGAGCGTATTGCTAACGTTCCCATTAAGTTATGAAAACGTTTTCTGAATGTTTTCTTAGCATTCAACAGCAACGTTTTAAGGGAACTTTCCATTTGATGCTATTTTCCCTAAGATATGAGAACGTTACTTTTGAATGTTCTCTGAACGTTCTGAAACATTTCAAAATCATCAGATGAGCGTCCAACTAAAATACTTCAGAAACCTTCCATTAACGATGTAGGCCTATAATTACAGTTTATAACGTTTTGAGAACATCATTAAAAGTCCGATAACTTTGAAAGGTTTTATTACTATTATAGACAACCTTGCCAGAACGTTCTGAGAATACGGAGATAGAATTGTTGCCTAATTCCAAATAAATAGATTATTACAAATAAATGTAAAGAGATTAACAAAAAATAAATAAATAAATAAACATTGACATAGAATGAGATCCGCAAATAAATCTTAGAGTTTCACAAACAATTAAATCGACAAATAAATAAAATGAGATCTGCAAATAAAAATCATATTCACAAATATATAATTATGTCACAACCACAATTTATATTTGTGGATCTCATTCCATTTATTTGTCAATATGTTTAATTTTTGTTACATTTATTTGTGGATCATAATCTATTTATTTGGAATTAAGCAACAATTCTATCTCCATATGAGAACGTTCCCTGTTTTATGTGAGGTCTGACAAACGCTGATCAGTACTTCTATCTCTATTCTATTACAGAAGTCTCCAAATAAGCAAGTTGTGATGAAGAGAGTTGTGTCTGCCTCGAGCTCTTTGCTGAACTCTTGTGGAGGTTTTCTGTAAATGTCACTAGTTATTGAACAGATACACGGATCTGGGAAAACACGTGTAGACATCCAACATTTATAATGCAACCCAGCTGACAAAAATATGCTCCGAGAAGGTTTTGAGTTATGAAAACAAGTTTTTAAAAGCTTTTATTTGTTATGTGAATAAACATTCAATTTTAGAATTTTCCGAAGTTATGGGAACGCTACTTTTGAATGTTCTTTGAAAGGTCTGAATCTACCCTTACCAAAAAGTAGTATACTTCAAGTTTATTTTAGTAAGTATACTTAAGTAAAGTTCAAGTATATTTTTAAGTATACTTGATGTAGTAAGTATACAAATATCAGTGTACTAGTAGTATACTT